GGTTGCGAATCACCACTAGTCTTCCTTGGGACCATATGTAAGGCAGAGGACAATTGACTGGAAGGACAAATGATTCCCAGTGCCATCATGTGAGAGAACTCTGAACGAGTTATTGTTAAGCTTTCGTGAAGAAGTCGTTGAGTTTGAGCAAATACGAGTAATCCTGATGTCTGAATGTGATAAACAATGTTGTACTTGATGGAAGTATCACCTTCCATGGTTGGGTTAATTCAGGATACCCTAAAAGGAGAGATGAAAAGGAGTTACTGAAGAAGAGAGGGTTAAGTGTAAGACCGTATGTATTCTGGTGTTTGCATTGCACGATAGTTTGAATATTGTTTGAGAATCTATAAGTGTCTTGCGATGTATGTCAATAAGGAGACCATGGTGTTGAAGAAAGTCAGCACCCACAATAGGCTGTTTCACATCTGCAATAGTGAAGATCCAACGATAAGGTCTACGAAGATGCAGATTGAGAGTGAGGAGCGTTGACCATAAGTGTGAATTTTAGTATCATTGACAGCTTGAAGTGTAAAGTTTAATGAATGACGATCTTGATCAGACTTAGTAGGAGGGACTACACTGACTTCAGCACAAGTATTAACCGAAAATTTGAGAAGAGACATTTTATCAGTAATGTAGAACAAGTGACAGTGAGAGCTGCCGGCAATGTTGGCTGCCTGTCACACTCAGTGGGAGGTTTTCCTAGTTTCAAGTACTTGGCGGAATACACTTAGCAGCTTCCTCACCAAAGCGATTGTGATACCACCGAGGAGAGGAAGGAGTCTGACTAGCAGAGTGCTGTCAAGAATTCCTAAGTCTTGATTTAGAACGAGGGCAATGAGGTCACTGAAGATACTGAACAAGTGTCTCAAGATTACTAATTTGAGAGCGTAATTGTTCAACCTCTGCTAAAAGTAGAGGAGTTTCTACAGAATTAATGGTAGGTGTGGCTACTTTACCAATTTTGTCAGCTAAAGCAGCAATGGTCTCCATATCATCTGACTCTTTTGAAGCAGCAGCAAGTATGATACGAAAAATTGATGGTAAAAACTGAAGGAAGAGTTCCGTAAAAATGAGCAGTCAGCAGTAGCAGCTTTGTCTCCTAGAAGTTGTTTCATATGGTGGAGGAATTGAGACGGAGTAAGATTGCCTAACTCTTCTGTGTTAAATAGTTGTTGAAGACGCCTCTGTTCAGTAGCAGTGTTATGCTTAATTAACTGTGATCTCAGAGCATCATAGGGAGTAGCAGAAGTGGGCTTGAGAGTCAAATCACGGACCTCAGAAGCAAACTAAGGAGACAAAAAGGCAATAACATGGTCAAACTTTGTCTTCTGTACAGTAATACCTTTCGTAGCAAACTGCGCATCCACCTGGGCGAACCAAAGTTTTGGGATTGGCGGGCCAGAAGGGAGGGCTTTTAATGATGACCAAGATGCCAGATGAAGCTGTATATGGTGCTGGATGTTGAGAAAAATTATTACGGGAGCCACTGCGAGACATGAAAGACGATCGATAATGGAAAGAAGTCTCTGGTAGGTATTGTGAAGAAGTATGGGTCACCAAATGTCGCAAGTAGTAAGCCGAGACAAAATAAATTAGCAACAGATAGTTAGGTTGTCAAAATGTCATCATTAAATAACAAAGGAATGAGATGGACAACGATAACAATGATATAAAGAGAGTACCTAAACATGAGATGCAGAAGGGAGAAAGAACAAAAAAAAATATGTGTGCACGCGTGAAAATAATAATGAATATTAGTAATGATAATAATAATAATCATGATAATAACAATAATAATATATTATTCTCTTTCATGATTGAAACCATAATGGCCATAACAATAATAATAATAATAAGTAATAATAATAATGAAAAGCACTTAAAATGCAGACCCTTGCCACTGAGCCAGCAATTCGTAATGATTAGTGGGAAATTGTGTGATGGCCCATTGTGTTTGAATGCTGGTTTCATTTAGATTTTTTATACTGTAAAATCAATAATGTGAGAATTGTATTACAGATTGAATGGTGTTCATGGATAATGTACTGTTAAGATGTACATTATGTACTGAATTAAACATTATACATAATTAAATAGTCCTAAATATGTGCTTAAGTGCCTTATGTCTTTGAGACAAAATGTTCTACTTTCTGTACATTTATTGTAACTTTCTGTAATATAAGAAAGATATTTATGTAACATTATAGGAAAACCCTTACATCATGTTGTGGTCTATTAGTTGGCCTAGAAATGCTTGGTCTTTTTTTTTTTGAATAAAATATCTGTAAAAATGTTTGTGAAAGACTGTGTCTTATTTTAGTTGTCAGTGAGAATTTAGTTACCTTAAATATTTTTGCATGGTCAATACAGAGACAATGTTCATCTTTTTTAGTAGTGGTGCAATCTTTTATTGGACATTTTGTACCTGATAGTCGAATACTGTTACGGCCTCCTTTTATCTGTAAAAAAAATGTTATTCTAGTTCCATTATAGGCTTTAAGTTTGAACTGACATGTATGGTGGTAAAGTCAAACCAAAACAACTTTGCCTTGTGCCTTGCTGCTTGCTTTATTACTGCTGAATCACATCCATGATAGTGACACTGTATAACATTTATATACGGCATTCATTGTGGACTACAAAAATTAATTTTTGAATTACATTTTTATGTGTATCTCCTTGTTGTACTGGGTTGTTCTTCTGTTAGTCTTTATCACTTGAAACTATATCTCTATCTCCCGAGCCATCTAATTCTTCAATGTTGAGCATTTCACTGTCACTCATTCTGGTCTAGAGTAGTCTACATGTAATGATATATCTATGCATGTGTATAGTATACAGATATAGTTAGATACCGTAATTCTTTAGCTGTGACTGCAATGGTTCTGTTGGACTAGATCCTTCTTGCTAACTGAACCCAGTATTTTTTTAAAGATTCACTCTCTAAGACCCACTATAGAGATCTATTTTTGTGTACAAATCTATTTTTTGAATTGTTGTATGCTGATATACTGAATCTAGATGCGTTCCAGGAAGATGCCACAATTTTAATGTAATGCTTACAATGTATAATTAGCACTTGTTAGGTCTTATTATAGACTCGTGAGGACACGCACGTCGAATAAGTGGAGTAAGTGTATCAATCCTCTCTGGATGAACTGGTCTATAAAGACTTTAAGACTGATTCAGTGACAGACTGTGTGCTATACTGTAGAGATGTCAGGGTGAGCTGCAAAGAATAGATTATTTGAAATGCTGTCTGATATCGACGATGTGGAGCAGAGAGCTGATATTAATGCTACTATTCAAAGTATTTCACCGATGAAGTTGAGTCAAAAGGGGAACAGTTACTATATTGGGACTATATCAGATGAGAGTTGCACACTGCATATGGTTGGGTTAACTCAGAATAAACTGGCAGTTGCTAAAGCTACTAAAAGCCCTGTTCATCTGTCTAATTGTGAGATCAGCAAAAGCTCCTTTAATGATAGTTTAGAAGTAATTGTGAGGAAAACAACATGTATTGAGCCGTCGCCTAAAAAATGAATATAGAATTGCCTGCTAATGAAGTACCCAAGGAAGTAAATGTTTGAGAATGAGCAAACCTCTCAGATGGAGCTAGTGTGAATCTTTGATGCAAAGTCTTAACAGTATCCCCTGCTTGTGTTGTCAGAACATGACGCTTGCAACACGTGACTATGGCTGATAGTTCTGGTAGTGTCACTCTTTGCAGTTGGGAAAGAAATATAGATTGGGTTCGAGAGTCAATGTGGTACAGTTTGACTAACCTGAAATTAGGTACGTTTGGAAATGAAAGGACGGTGACATTAAGAGGCAGCAGTATGGTTTATGAGATATCAAGTGTTGCTCACAAAGTAGTGAAACCTACCATTGTGGATGAGAATGATATTGAGGTCTTTAGTAATGCAAGAATCATAGGGACATGACATTTTAATGTATATTACTCTTGTGTTAGCTGTAGCAGCAAGCTGAGCGCTGTAGAAGAATTTCGAGATGTACAAAGTGTGATACTCTACAGTCATTGGCTAACTCATTACGAAGTCTCCTGTAATATTTTGTTCAGTGATGGAAGTAGTAAGAAAATGTTGAAGACTTGCGCTCAGATAATTGTAGATTTAAGGTACAACGGGCTGAACGCACAATTTAGTTTTCGGAACACAAATTGTTTCCTTTATACATTTTCTACAACATATAATTTTTTCAAATTTTTTCTCAATAGTGAGATGCAATAAACTTTACTTAACTTTTTAAAATGGTTGAAAACTGAGTAAAGAATTCTTGAACATATTGAGAGTACTTTAATTTTTAGTAATATGATTGTTTTTATAATATTATTTTCTATTGACGTACGCTCCATCACTTGGCAAAAGTTCTTCAAGTTTTGCAAAATGGGCTGCAATCTCTCATAGAGTTTTTTTCACTTTCAAACATCAGTGTATCACAAAAGCATTTACTGCATACTAACTTGATTGAGTGTTTGCCTTCATTATACCACGATTGCAAGCTTTACAGCTTCGTAGAGCCTGCATTCACCAGATGAAACAGCTAAATAAACAATAGTCAGGAAGTACATACTGGTGGCCATTTTTATTAATGGTTTGACTAATATGACGTCATAACTTAACCCCACCTTGCAATTAATATTTCCCGCCAGTTTTATAATATACAGAGGTATCCAGAAATGACACAAGATCAAAGATGGCGTATTATTTCTAAGGAAGACGAAGTGAATCTTTTTTTTCTTAATATTTCTGCTGTTGCTACCATTCTCAGTAAGCTATGAAAAATTATTTTATAAAGAGACAATTTTAATAATAATATTTCAGAAGTGTTTGCAATTAGCCTCACAGTTTAATGTGCTTATTTCATTTTGCTTGCCACTCTGGTAATTATTTCTTATGCTTGCGCAGCCTGTTCAAGAGATTGTTTAATTGCAAAATAATTTTTAATATTAAAAATACAATAATGCAAAAAAAAAATAAACAGCATCGTTCTGTTCCACTGGAAATGATCCAATCATAAAGTCATAATGATAATCAGCTCAAATTCCGCATGAATTACTTTTCAATAACTGTGATCAAGTCTAACCTACAAAGAGTGATGTACAATGGTTACTTTAACCTTAATTAATTCAAAAATTGATTTTATTATTACAATTATACATTCCAATGAAGTTATTCCCTTGCTCCATCGTTCACAGAGGCACCTAAAAAACCAGAAGATGATAAAAGTGGCCCAATACAAAACAATCTATATTTTTATGACAAAATATCAACATGGTTGTACTAATTGACTTAGAAAAGCCATCATCAATCTTTCAGATTTCATTCTTCCATATGTATTCAACTGAATGTAACAACATTGTTTTCAAATTGAGATTTTTTGTACAATTGAATGAAATCATGCACCATCATCACACATATCCAGATAAAAAAGCAAATAGATAACAAAAAGAGCGGAGCAGTTATACAAAGTAGACAGTATGGACAAATATTGTACAAGTATTGTGTATTATTATTGTTACTTATGTCAATACAACTATTACGCAAATTTCTAGATATTAGGGAAATAATAAAACTACAAAAAACCAGAAATAGTGGTTTATTATTATTTAACTATCAATTATCCTAGAATGAACGACAAAATTTATTGTTGTTCATAAGTGTGTGTGTGCAAAAACATTTTTATAGGAGGAGTACTTAACAAGCTAGCATTATAGGAAACATACACATATCCATTAATGGCTATAACTTAAACTTAAATAGAGCATTGAAAGAATCAGAACTATACAACATGCAAAATGGTTTTTGAATTGAGCTACAATAGCTTCGTGGTGATTGTTTCATAGCACTGATGATTGTATAAAATCAGTTTCATTAGTCGCAAGTCATAATTCTATATAGTATTGGCTGCATTGATAAGGTTTTAGTTGTGATATCTACACTCCTAGTTTATTTATTTTGATACATGCATGTTACCATGTACAACTTTACACGAGTTGCGTTTTTTCTCCATTTGTAGTAAGTTCATGACAGGTACAATAGTCACATTTCTGTAGCACAGTGCATTTCTACTTATTCATTAATGTTTATTTACATGTATTAATAGAATGCGACATGCATCATGGTAAACTTTGAGTTTTGCCTTGTGAGCATTTTTACAAGCATCAGTCCACCTTTTTCAGTGTGTCTAGCTACATGTAGATTTACGTGTATCAAACTTAGTGTTATATAATGTGTGTACCTGAATAGGTCCGTAAAAACTTGGTTGTGAGTACAACTTCTACAAAGCTGACTAGCTCTACAAACTTTTGTTTTTAAGTTACTGTATTTTTCCATGAGTTTGTAATAATAAAGTGTTTATAATTTTAATTTTCAACAATATTTATTGTTGTTAATTCATTATTATTGTAAACAAGTTCTCAATGCCTGTACACTACAAATTAGACCAACAGAGTGGACCAGGAAGGCACATAAGTATACATTAGATTTTTAACAAAAAATAGCTACAACTAAAGCAGCTAACCAGCATGCTAAGAGCAAAAGACATGCCTACATGTATGTAACATAATGACTATGGTATAACTAACCAAAGACATGCCTACACATATGTACATGTAACAATATGACTTTGATATAACTTCATTGTCCTAACAGTACTTAAAATGACTTAAAACTGACTTAAAATGACATCATCAATATATCCCATTTCATTCTTACAAATCTCCAGCTTAAGGTAAGAACACTGTTTTCAAATTAAGATTTTTCACAGTTTAAGGGAATCATGCACTATTATCAGACATATCCAGATAAAAGAGCAAAAAAGATTTGAAAAAACAAAAAAAGAGAGCAGAGAAGTCATAAAAAATAGACAATATGGACGAATAATGTACAAGTATAGAATATTATTATCATTATTTAATTTGATGCAACTATTCACTTTAGTAAGCAAATTTTTAGATATTGAGTGAATCAAACTACATAAAACAACAGAAATAGTAGTTTATTATTTTTCTAACTATCATTTATCCTAACATTAAAGACAGAACTCATAGATAAGTGTGTGTGCAAAAAAATTTTTACAGGACAGGTACTTTACAAGCTTGGCATAATAGGAAGCATACATGCATCTAATAAATGTCTATAACTTAAACTTAAAAAGAGCATTGAAAGAATCAAAACTATACAACATGCCTGAAAACAATAAACAATTATATAGTGTCTTGCAAGACTCACCAAATCTGTATATTTTGAGAGGTATTCTACGTTAAAATAGAATTACTTGCTTTACTTTTCATGTAATTAATTTGGCTAACTGCAAGAGCAAGGGACAAATACAGTGAATGATAGGTACATACATAATTCATTATGCAACTTAAAGTTCCTCTCATAATTGTAAAGAAACTCACCCAAAAAGTTCAAAAAAATGTATTGTGCATGCCTTTCTCATATTCATCACTTTCATGTATAAGAAGTTATCACAAAGTCTAAAGTTTACAAATACTTCCAGTAATAGATTTTAATCATCAATGAACAACAACGATAATTTTGCAAGTAAAAATCTATAACAAAGAAAATTATTGATTGCATTGCTTACTTCCTTACTATGTCTAGGTTGAGTATATTCAAAGATTTTGAGTTGTTACAATAAATAAAGCATATAGAACCCTCAAAACTAATTTCACTTCCACACCCACTAGGACAAAGTATCCTTATAGTATGAGCTACCAAATGTATCCGGCAAACGATACCACCTGAAGAATATAACAACAAGAAGGATGGCATGATAATACATGTAAACTGTGAGTGTAATTATAGTCACACATTTACAAACTTTTCAGAAAACTGCTCTGTCTCTCTAGTAAACATACATGAAAATAGTGACAAGGCCTCCATTTCTCATAATGGAAAAGTTAACTGAAGAGAGAAAGCACAAATAGACTGAGATGGTGAGTGTTTTCCCTTTCCTTAACCGGTATATATGCTCCATTGCTGTAAACTACAGCTTCATAGTAGTACACACAACTTGTTCTGCAACAGTTTTTGTAGCTAGAAAAAGTGTACAATGATTTGCTTTTAGTCCTATTAACCAATTCTTCAAACTATAGCAGAAAGAAAATGTAATGTAAGTGTCACACCTAGTTATGTATATGTGACCATAATTGACAAAAGGGCCCTTATGGCGGATTTTAAAATTGATAGTTATAATGGAAAATATCAACCTGTGAGTGCTTTGTTAGACAATCATTGTTTCTAAAAGTTTCATGGTAACTTTTTGCATCATGTGGAGTAATGTTATGATAACTGGGGCTCAGGAAGTTGGATTTCTTAGGCTAAAAAGACAAATTTCACTTTCCGCCATGAGGTACCTTTTGTCAATTATGGTCACATATCAATAAAATGCAAAACAGTTAATCTATGCATGTACATTATAGTCTTCAGACAAAAGCACTGTTACAATGTCCCAAAACCAGTTAAACGAATTTTACAACTTGCAATTTTTTCTCACATACTCAAGTGCAACAGCATGTGGATGTACCCCAGAGTATAAGGAAGAAACTTTTTTAGCAGAAGGTGCCATTAGGTAAAACATATTTAAAAAATAAGACTTCCCAAAAGATGTGCTACAAGTCAAACAACACTAAAATATAACACTACAGAATATAGATGCACATTACAAATGCAGCCAACAGAAGACTAAAACAAGCAGGTTTTTTTTGTTAGGCAGAAGTACAATACTACCAATGATAAATCAAATACTTTGTTGCATTCAGCACCAATTACTATTCTTCACAACACTCCCTAAATGAAAAATGAAGACTATCTATTCAACATATTTTTGGACTTTAAAAGTGAGACAATTTGCATTTATTGTACAATACACTGCATATCATACAATAAATCCCAACCTGGACCACGAGGAGGTAGTCTCACATTCCAGGTCAAAAAACTCACAACTCTGCAATTTTACCTAAGCAGCACATTATAGCAGTAACTCTCTCTCTCATTTGCCACATACAGTTCAAAACACTTGGCATGCTAGTTTATATGTGTGGTTTAGCATGCAGTTTATTTCACTATATTCCCTGTACAACACAACAGCCACCATCACGAAGCATGGCATGGCATGTTGCTTCACTACTAGTGACTGTCAATATGACACAAAAGCTGCCACACAACATGTGGTACTACTTACATGATTTCACTACTACAATGTAACACTCTGTATAATGCAACAACAACCGCCACCCAAAGCGTGGTACGGCATGTAGCTACATTCAGAGTTTCTGAACCACTCTGTGAAATATATCAACAGCTGCCACCCAAAGCGTGTCACAGCAATTGAGCATAAAGATCTAGTGACTTTCATCACTCTTAGAACTTTAATAAGCTGCCACCCAATACGTGGTACAGCACCAAATAGTTAAAGTCACCCTGTACTCAACTGTCATAATGTCATTACATGTCATGTGGTACATGACCAGTTTGTATAGTTAGTATTGTGTGTTTTAATTAAAACATTTCTCACAAACTGCCATTAGCATAATGTGCTGCAAAGGTTTAGGCAAATGTCACAAATGTGGACAGTTTGTCTACAACAGAGAGTGAGAGGGAGTATTCTCATACTCAAGTGGCAAAATATGATAAGCATACAATGAGTAATTACAAACAAACAAGATGCAGTTGTACTTTAACCACAAATAATGAAACTAAAATATCTTAAGTAGTAATTGCACTATATTAACGAAAATAGAAGACATGGTATAAAATTCTTTATAACATCAAAGACAAAGATCTTACCATTTTGTATTAAGCTAAAGAAAACTAAACTAAACAATTTCACTCTAAAATAGCAAGGCTAAAATGGCATTACACTGCTTTTAATCAAGTACAGGTATTACTAAATCATAGTGATTACAATTAATGTGGTACAGATACAACATGACTTTCATGGGTGTCATACAAGTTTCGTTAGTGAACCGAGGCACATAAGTATGCCAATCACGGTAATTGGAATATTCTGAAAATACCATAATCTTAACTTGAAACATTGTGGCAGCTGCAAATACCTCATATTCAGTTGACCATGAGGTTTCTAAATAGAGTTTATGTCTGTTTATGTGACTCCTCACTGCTTTTAATGCATCAATATCGTAATAAATTCCTGAACGAACGAGTCTACCAAAGGCAAGAACATTGGCAGGGTCAAGCATGAAGTTAATTAAGGACATACGGACTGCAAAATGATTGTCTTCAGTACCAGTAATGGCTTTTGAAATTGTCCTATAGAAATATGCCCCATCACCGACAATCTCATCCCGAATATGAGGAGCTATTTCTCTGCAAGGAACCTGTTTGACAGCATCAACACGTTGAACAACTGCGATACCAGAGAGCTTTGATATAATTGCAACTGCTTTCTGTACCCAATCTCTATTTGTAGAAGGAGGTGGTAACATTTCATGCAAAACCTTTAAAGCACCCTTGGTCTTTTCTTCATCAATTAAACAGTCTGATTCAAGACTGTGAAATGATTTTGTCTCTACTTTTCGACCCACAAAGTCATTGTGAGGAACAGTTACACTATCAACACCAGTCGTTCTGTGGTCTTTCATTTTGAATGGAAAAGGGGTCAGCAAGCACCTTGGTACAGAGAGCTCCAACTTCTTATTTTCAAACAAACTTGGAGTGCATACAGAAGGAGAACCTACTTCTTCAGCCACTGCTAAATGGAAACTTTGCTCTTTTAATTTCGATGGACTTGGTGTCATTGATGGTGAAGGGCACTTACTTAAAGATACCTGTACCTCCCGCATCTTGTGGATAGATGTTGGAGTACTTTTGGATGGAACAGAGGTCAGCGGTACTGAGAAATCCCACTTTTTATTCTGCAACAAAATTGGAGTATGTACAGAAGGAGAACCCACTGTTTTAGCCACTGCTAAATGGGAACTTTGCTTATTCAATTTTGATGGGCCTGGGGTCATCGACGGTGAAGGGCACTTGCTTAAAGATATATGTACCTCCGGCATGTTGTCCACAGAAGTTGGAGTACATGTGGAGTGAGAGCCTACTTTATGAACAGTTGATACAGTGTGTGAAATGTGCACCACAGGAGTACTTTGCTGTGGAATTTGTGGTAGAACAAGAGTATTGGATGGCGAACAGCATTTTGATACAGACATCTCCAACGTTTTACCAAGGATAAAAGATGGAGTGGATACAGTAGCAGAGCCTACTTTTTCAGCAGTTGATGCATTGCATGGGACAATAACACTTCCAAGAGCAGGGGTACTTTGGTCTTTAATTTTTGATAAAACTAATGGAGAAGGGACTTTCGGTGAATTCAGACCCATTTTCTTAAGTGGCGGAGTCCACAAGGCACCAGGAGTGAGTGAGCTGTCCATAGCCCTTTTCCTATTTCTTTCATTATCAGGGCAATCCCATTTGTGACATGGAAAATTGGGACATGCACACGATTCAACAACTGTTTTATCACTTAGGGAACATTCAAAGTCATAACAATCATCGTCATATTCAGATACATTGTCATCACTTTTGGATGCATTGATGTCACAGGAGGTATCAATTCCAGTAGCAGTATCACAGGTTCTCCTCAGTGGACAACTCTTGTGGGACGTCCTTCTGTGGTCTGTTGAGCCACATTTGCATTTGTCAGTTGAGGCATCTGCAATTACTTCTTCAGTAGATGCATCCCTTCCATAATCGTGATTTATTGCACTCTCTTTTACAAACAATTGCCTGCGTTGATGTTCAAGGACTTTACGCTTTCTCTTATAAAGCTTCCTCCTTGCTTTAGCAACATTGGTCTTCTTGCTTTCTATATCAAAAAATCTATCTGCGTTCAGCTTCTCCAAGATAGATGGAAGATTCTGAACAACAGGAAGGCACATCCGCTTAAGGATGTCAAGAATCCAGTGGTACTGAGGACCACGTTTTGTAAAAAGATAGGTCATGCAACCTTGAATGAGACCTATGTTGGTAGAAACGTGGTAGTGAAGACGTGCAAGGTTCCAATTTTTGGACCTATACCTAACAAGCACATTGTGCAAAGCTTCAACAGGGTTTGTTGTGACTTTACCTATTTCAGGATGTATCAATACATCAGCCAGACCAGCCTTTTCTTGACACTCTAACTTGTAAGCTAGGGTATGAAAAGGACACTTCATAACTTGGTCACTTTTGTAAAGTTTTTCATGGCATTTTAAATTGTATTTATCTGTACAAGAACCACAGCTACACACTACTAATGGGTGAAAATCACACTGGCCACCATCCCATTGGTGTTCATCCTGAAAGTGGTGCAATGCCAAGTTCATTAATTTCTCAGAGAAAGCATTGGGGTCTGTGCCAGCATTCGTAAGGCACATCTGAAATGAGGCCTTGGCTTTTCTAATGAACTTCTCAGTGAGGCAACCACAATGCTTCGCATGCTTTTTCCCCTTGCAGTAGCATTCTACTCTAACACCATCATTAGTTGTCATTTCTTTTAATTTACGCAATTTGTCTAACTTTATAGCATGATTCTTTGCCACATGATTGCAACACCGCAATACCCGACAAAGTGGAAAATGTTTCAAGACAACATTCTCAGATGTGCTGTCTCCGTCTTGAATGTGGCATTCCACATTCATTTGATCCTTGACCATGAGCTTGAATACCTCGTTAGCACCGAAACCTTCTGCTGCTTTTGATATGCCTTCATATATGTCATCTTGACACAAATTGTCACTTCCCTTTTGACAAATGTGACAATAATACAAAAGAGCACCAGTCAAGTAATTTCTGACAGTGCATGTGCAGTTTCGGCTAAAACTGCCTCTAGTCAGCCAAACCACATCGCCACAGGTTACAGCCCTCTGCCAGCTCCCTAATTTTTCCTGATCCATATCTTGCATTTCCTTTCTGGCTTCCAAGCAAATGCCATCTAAAATGTCCTTCAAATGGTCATACATCTCTTTTAGTGTCCCAAAAAAAACACTGTCGCTGACTGTATGCATTCCAAGGATGTGGTGAAACATTTTCTTATATATGGCATAAGATGCTCCAGAACAAATTGTAGCAACTTGTAAAATCTTAGATACAGCAGCATCACCATTCTCCCTCTGAGATGAGGTTTCAAATTTGACATTGCAGCTACCACAGTTAGTACAGCCAAAAGAGAGTGATGCTGCTCCCCCCAGGCCAGCCAGTTCTATCGAGTTTACTTTCAGTTTACCTTGACAATTGGTCTCCTGGCAAATTGAATATTGTTCCACAAATTTGACCAACTGTGTAGTCTCTGTGACAACCATGCAATTACTGGAAGCATCTATGTGCAAATTACTCTTGCAAGGAGTATCGAGTGTAAATGTGCAATCAGGTTCACCTGGAGTGGGTTTTTCATCTTCAGTGGCACCAAGAACATTGTCCTCTTCCTCAGAAGGTACTGGTTCTTCAGTATGAATCTATAAGAAAGAGAATGGAGTGACGGAACACAACACTTGACAGATAAAACTTCCTCAAAACATGAGGTCAAACATGCCCACTTGTTGTGAGAATAATCATTACTTATTCAGTATTAACAAGAGCAGATGATAGTTAGAGAGAGTGTCAAACTGCACTATGCCAGCTGGAATATGACCACGTAGAACTAAGTCACGTGAGACCTGAAGTGTGGGTGTACCTACTAAAAGCACGTGTAGAAGTTTGCATAACGAACAGTGGAGAACACTTGAAGAAGCTTTAGACATCATACTAGTAAACTTTATAATCCTGCTGAAGCCTGTTATGCAGTACAGCTATTGCAGAGACTCCAAAATGGCCAGAAAATCTTGTTGAGCAAACTAGGCAGCCATTTTTTCCTACTCAGCCACACCCAGTATGCGGGAATGCCCAAAGATGTGCAAGAAAGTTCACACGGTCATATTCCAGCTAGCATAGTGCATTTCGACACTCTCTCTAACTATCATCTACTCTTGGTATTAATGTAATGATAAATTATCTTCGTTAATCAGTGAATAATCCTAGAGGCCCATCATCGAAACATTTATGACAGTAACTCTGCAGTAACGTGGAACTTTTCCCTGACACGCAAGAGCAACTAATGATATTTTATTTTTCCATGTCATATACAGTAGAAGGCGAAAAAAAGATAAGTATTACACAGGTAGTGCGTAGGTAGTAATTTTACTTCGTTACTCTTCACTGCAATATGCCCAGGAAGTACTGTTGATACCGCCCAGTCACATGTTCCATGTAACAAGCGCACATGCACTCTAGAGGCTCTCAAAGGACTTGAGGATGCTTCTCTTGGCTGTCTTTACTCTCCAAGTTCATCTCTACTGCTGCTCTCTGCTTATAGAACGCCGTTGAGGAGGCTCTTTGCTCGATTCACTGTTGAGCTACTGTCCTGCGGCTGACCAAGTGCACTACTGCCACTGATCGGTTTGCACATGCGCAACGAAGGACCAGCGAACTACAGTTTAGAGAAAAAAAAGCTAAATAACTGCAGCGTCACTACTCTTGCACCGCGCAGTAAAGTACCTTCCACTGCGTAGGATTGACCCTTGTGCTGTGCTTGTATTGCACATGCGCAGAGTAGCTGGTGGGCAGGGTAGTCCTTGCCCACTGCACAGCTACCCTGCACAGCTACTATATACTACTCTTCCAAGGCTACTCTACCGTCTACTACTTATATTAAACGGCACTTACTAGCGCTTGTACTCTACTGGGTTCAAAGAATATGGGTTTAAAAAGTAGCCGGATATCAGTAAGTAAAGGTTTTATTACTATGTGTAAGGTTCTTCTTATGTAGGAACGGTGATTCTACTGGGCCGTAGCAACAGACTATGACTGTCACAGTGCAATGGTGATGTGTTATTACGAAGTCTAGGAGTTACAATGCATGTTTGTAGTCATTTCTTTTTCTGACTTTTATTTTTGTTCTGAATTGTAAAAAATAATGATATTTTATGTACATGTAAAGCTTATATTTACCCCGTACTTACTACCCCTTTCAAATTGCAAAAATGCGCGCATTTATCTGGTGGACTAGTGACAATGGTGTACAGCACTTACAAACAACAGAGGATTTCACATTCCTTTTGTAAGTTTTTGAGTAAGTATTCACCACTAATTTTACTGTAGCACTGGATGTCAAAGTCTCAGGTGTGAGCAAACTGATTAAGAAATACATGGAAACTGGTTCAATTACTCAAAAGCCAGGTTTGTCAGTATTAATTCCACTACACTTCTCATTATTTTCACAATATAGGATCTGGAAGACCTTCAAAAGTAACCAGAGAAGTTTTAAAGATAGTATAGGACCAAATGCAAGCTGATGATGAAAGCACTGCTACTCAACTTCAGTAGCTTCTCGTTGAGAAAGGTCATTCACTGTCACTGAAAACAATATTGAAGTCTCGCAATACACTTGGTTGGACATACCGTGGGAGTGCATACTGCCAGATCATTAGAGGACCAAATAAAGAGAAGCGAATGAAATTGGCTCAAGATCAGTTGCAGGAGCACAGGACTACTGGTTTTTCTGATGTACTGTACAGTGATGAGTGTACAATTGAATTCGAATCCCACAGGAGATTTTCATGAAGGAAAATAGATGCCCCCGAAACCAAAACCAAGGTAGCACTATATTATATAGAGCAAAAACCCCTATAAGGTACATGCATGGGCAGGTATAAGTTGCCAAGGAAAGATGCCAATTGTGCTGTTTGAAGAAAAAATGAATTCAGCTGGCTTTATTGAAGTTTAGGAAAATAGACTGATTCCTTATACCCAGCATTTAAATCCATCTCAAAGATTGATGCAGGATAATGATCCCAAACATTCCTCAAAGAAAGTAAAGGAGTGGTTAGAAGCCAACAAAATAAACTGGTGGAAAACACCACCAGAATCCCCAGATCTTAATCCGATTGAAAATCTATGGCACGAGCTCAAAGAATATGTCAGGAGAGTAGTGCAACCACAACGAAAGGAGGAATTAGTCAAAGGAATTATGGATTGTTGGGAAACTGTAAATAGAAGAAAGTGTAGTAAATATATCGGACACGTACGTAAAGTAATATCAAAAGTGATTGAATGCAATAATGGAGGTCCCACTGGATAGAAGAAAGTGTAGAAAATATATCGGACACTTACGTAAAGTAATATCGAAAGTGATTGAATGCAATAATGGAGGTCCCACTGGATATTAATATTTGTACATGTACACAGTAGCTCTTTCGATCTTCCTCTTTCCTTATAAATGTAACATCACATACATGTAATCTATGCTAACAGACTTGTACATTACAGATTGCATGCACTTATAACTCTCTTCTATACCCCTCCCAATCCTTCTCCCTCCCACATGTATTATAATAATTAAAAGCAAAGTATATCTTTTATTCATTGTATATCTTTTGCATCTTTATATCATTATATCTAATATATAATATATATACATGTATATCAACAGTGTCACTGTGTTAGACTATTTATTATCTTATATGATACTATACTCAGTGTAGCCTTCTACTCTAGATTCTTAATATCAGGTGGATATTTGCTTCTAAGCCCTGAAGAGTAATGATTTATTGCTTGAATACACTTAGACCAATACAGCTAAAATTCTTCCTTTGTACTACTATCACGTGGATGGAATAATCCCAGTAGCTTCTGCTTCAGCTCCATTAGAGCACCAGATGGCAAAGGAGGGTTCTCCTTCTGCCTATACACACTACGTTTAATCAAAAGTGATGGTCCAAAGTAAACTTTGCTAGCTAGTCTTACAAATGATTGTCCAACTTGAGAGAGTGTCTTTAGTTTGGGATATTTATTAATCACAATATCAGGATTCAACAAAGGAGCATTAAAATCTATTTTCCTTCTATTACCAGTGTGCACAGTAGTATTGGTGATGATTGCCTTTACTGGCTCATTAGTTGGAGTTACTGGATCTGTATGCTGAGGTAGGTTACAAGCAGATGGGGCACTAGGAGTACTTCCATTACTGTTCATGTATGTAGCAGAGTACCTGCCTAGAATATTAATAGGATATTACTAATCTCTAATAATTATTAGTGAATACTAACCCTTGTGTTCATGCTAGTATTTCCAAAGAAATGGTATGTTAAGCAACCCAATTGGGATGGCACCATGATACTCTGTTCTTCTAAAATTTCCATTCTTCTAATTAGAGACAGTATATAACCTCTAAACAAAACAACATTAATTGTTTGTGATAATCAAGTAATATGTTATTCATGTTACTAAATTTGTACAGGTACTTGTAAAACAATTCACCTGTTTCAGTACTACATGCAGCTTGAGTTTTAAGCTCCACCAGTGCAAGTGGTGGTGGAAGTGGTGGAGGGCTATGACAAAGAATTCTTTCACTGGAATCTGCCTCTTTTCTCTCTGAAGGTTTTCTTGCTTCTAATAATAAGTAAAACAATAGTAATAATTATTATTATATTTAATCTTACCGATACTAATATGCTTAGAAGGATCTCCAGTGTTGAAGCTTGTTGCTTCATTATTTGCAGCAGATTCATTATTTGTAGCACAACCAACAGCAACAATATTAACTGTGCATTTCTGTTTTGTGTTTTTATAATAAATTACCTTTTTAATGCATTATGTACCTTCACCTTCCTTTCCTTTTTCTATTTTAGGTTTCTTTATTCGGTGGTACCTACATGTAGATGTGAATTTACATGTAGGGTTAGTAATACTATATACCATCTCACTTTTCTTAGCTTTCCTTTTTATTGTGCCACGCTTTGTAGTCTGACTCATTCTTCATACTCTCAGCTGACTGTTTCTCCATATTCTTGGCTGACTCTTTCTCCAAATTCTCCGCTGACTCTTTCTCAATCTTCTCAATAATATCACCTGCTGCATTACTTACATCTTTCTTATCTCCTAGAAAATTATATGTGCAGCTATTGACTAAAAATTAAAGTACAGTGTTACCAAAGGTGACTATTGTGCCATCATGAAAGTCCTTTCCATCCCTTACTCTGCAGGAGGTACCAGCTTCCAGCTGCTCAACTTCTACACAGTTTGCTTTCACAATAGAATAAGTATCGTCTTGCTTAAAGTATTTCAAAAAGTAAGAAGCTACATTTAAAATAATAACAAGACTCCTAAACATGTCTTTAACTTACGATTTGTCTTCTTCTGGGTGTCTTTTATCAGCTTTCTAAGACTCATTTCTACTCGTTTCCACTAAGTCGTAACCGGGCTGGTGAAAATTAATGCGCATGCGCAGCACATCAGTAGAGTAGAGTAGCACAGGAGTCAAGAAAGCAAAGCTGCTCGTTACTACTACCGTTTTGATTCGCATGAGCTGTGTAGGAAGAAAAGTGCAGTTTGTAGGAACTACTCTGCACTACTTAGCTTCTTTTCTCTCTAAACTGTACCTACGCAACAGTAGAGTAGCTACTTATCTTTTTTCGCCCTGTACTGTATATAAATGAAAGCCTATTAGGGGCTCTCTCACATGCAGGATCATTGCCATATAACACTGCATTAGGATTAAATTTAAAACTGCACAGAATACATGGATGTATGTAGACAGAAATGATAAGAAGAAATGTAAAGACGAATACATTTTTGTAAAAAATGTCATAACTATTTACAAAAAATAAAACAATTAAGTTGACTCAATACATTTAACCTTATGTTTCAGTTTTTTGTTAATGGGAATGTTTAACGTTTCTAACACTTAAAGAACAGTGGTTATGTAATCAAATATGAGACAGTATTGCAAATACATTATTTTAATAGCCATCATGTCTCTGGTATCAACAAAAAGCTGTTTCTGAACGAAAAGACATCACCAGTTCATCAGGTGAATTTTTTAAAATCTACTGGCAGATTAAATTTACCAAAAACTACAGTATTTTCTTTGTAACTTTCTTCCCTCACTAGATGGCAAAAAGGCAACCACATAAGGTATAGTTCCTTAATTTTGATGCAATGCTCAAAATTTAAAATACAATATGAATTAAAAAACTAACTTTAACTGAGGTTTTAAAATGACATGCATGAATAATCTATTGTTCCCATGGTACATGGATGCATAAGAAAGTATACCAAAACTGCCAGAGTACAGCTACTGCATACCA